GGGGGGTTCATAATATGCTAATCATGTAATCATATTAACTGCAAGTTTCACAGCAAAACCATAACTAGAAGCAAACCAGAAACAGGATGAACTGGAGCAATACAAGAACTATATTGTTTTTGGAACTTAAAACTGAAACTAGAACATACCAGTAAAGAAGATAGTAAGCAAAAGTGAAGGAGCAGGAGAGCACAATAGTTAGCCTTGGCTTGCAGCCGGCTAACTCAGAATAAGAGCAAGTAGCACAAAGAAAGAGCAGAAAGTTTAAGTGTGATAGAGAGCTTTTGAACCAAAAAGTTCGTCCCTTTGTTAATGAGAGAGTATGTATATATAGTAGTTCGAAATTAGATAAAAATAAGGTAAAAATCATAGTAGCATAGTAATTAAGGAACTCAGAATCAATTAGAGTAAAATCATGACAAGTACTCCCTTAAGTTAAGGGAATTAATTCAAACGGTAAGAACAAGTAATAATTAAGGAAAGAAATCAGTGTATGACTAATAAGGAAATATTCAAATTCAGTAAGTATAAGGTAAATAATTAGGGCTAAGTTCAGAACACTCTAATTAAGGAAATAGTCAGTAAGAATAAAGTACCACAACAGACAAGGTAGGTGAATCAGTTAATTTGAATAGAAGGGGTCGAAATTGAGGGTTTAAAGGAAGGTCTTTCAATCAAACCAAAAAATAGAAAATCCAGAATCAATCAAGAAGGAGTCACGATTCAGTATTCAGCATATAAATAGAGTAAGAGCAATCAGACACAGCAAACATGCAGGTTAAATAGTATTGATAGAAAGAGGCCAGTCTGAAAAATCAAGATGAATATAATCACATAGAGGCGGTATAAGTTTGGCTAAAAGCTTAGTTAGAACACATTCGAGGCAAGGTAATCACAAAAACTTAAACAAGAATCGAGTAGTCATGCTAACACACAGAACCAAACAAAAAAAAATCTAGAAAAATTAGGGCTTTTAACATAGGCGAGTTGAAAAAGCAGTAAGATCATAGAATCAGTCAAAATATGCAAGAGATAGAAGTTTAAACATAAAGAATCAGTTTAAACAAAGTTTTAGAAGAAGTTCCGAAAATCCTAATTTTAGAAGGAGGGAAAAACACTTTGAAATCGATGATTCTTGTAAAAGGGATTCAAGAGCAGTGTAAAACATCAAAGAAATAGACTCGAATCATTTTAAAACATACAGATCTAAAAGATGTAGGCAGAAATTAGGGTTTCAGAAGAAACCCAAGGAGAGGTGAAAGAACCTGTCTAGAATCCCAAAGATCGTGACAAATACAGTGTGATTTTGCTCGAAATCACACCGGAGTAGCCAAGAACAACCAAATAGCAAACCCTAGATGCAAGTCGTCGCAGCATAGGGCCCTTGAAGAACTTAGAGAAGGCAAGCATAGCATTAGAGGGGCCATTGGAGGCTTAGGAGTTGACGGGAGATCGCCGGAAAAGAAGGTCAGCGGTTGATGGAGCTAGGGTTAGGTTGAGTGGTTGAGAGAGGAGAGGAGATGAGAGAATACAGAGGCGGCGGTCTCTGAGGAATGAGGTAGGGTTAAAGGTCGTTTGGGATAAAAAAGGAATGAACGGACGAGGGCCGTTGATCTTTTAGATCAACAGCCAAGATTTGACGGGTCTTGGGTCGGGTAGGCGGGTTTAGGGTCTGGGTCGGGTAGTTTGATTAGAAACTGGGCTGGGGTTGGGTTTGAATTGGGCTAAGATTGAATGCAGATATGGCTATATTTTAAATAGCCAATTTTCCCCATATAATTTATAATAAATAATAAATAATTTCTGGAAAATAATTTTGTGTACTAAAATGATTTAAAATAGATATTTAACATTTTAAAAATATAGGAAACCAATTTTATTCATATAAATGTAATTGTACATTAATGGGGCTAATATTGTAATTATATGCAATTTAGCTTTAAAAATACAAAATGCAATTATAAAAATGCGCAAAAAATATTTTAACCATATTTTGGCATAAATATAGAAATTAAATGACGAAATCATCACAAAAATAATTTGAGGGATAATTATTGAGGACTTTATGAATAAAAGGGAAGGAGATAAATCAATTTAAATCCTTAAAAATTATGGGAAAAATATAAAAACCTTGTGCATGCTTATATATGTATATATATGCTATTTTGAAGGTATTTATGCATATATAAAAATATAGGGAAAAATTGGGTATCAACAGTGTAAAAGTCAGGGAAACGGTAACAACAGCAAGGAAGTAGAACAACCAAAACACAAGCAATATCAGGTAGTAATAGAATTTTAAGCATATGGAAATACTAAAATTCGATACTACTACTGGAAAGAGAGGAAAGACGTGCAACTTCCTACTAGCCTTCTACCATAATCCTCGCCCTCCACACCTGCCTGTCAAGAGTCATGTCCTCGGTGAGCTAAAGATGCCTCATGTCATTTCTAATCACCTCTCCCCAATACTTCTTCGACCTATATCTTCCTTTCCTTAGACTCACCATCGTCAATCTCTTACCCCTCCTCACTGGGGCGTCCGGACCCGAACCATCTCAACCGCGCTTTCCGCATCTAGTCCACGATGGAGGCTACACCTACCTTATCACGAATATCTCCATTCCTGACCATATCCCTCTTGGTATGCCCACACATCCTCTTAGCATTTTCATCTCCGCAACCTTCATCTTTTGGACATGAGGGTTCTTGACTGGCCAATATTTCGCCTCATACATACAACATAGTTGGTCTAACCACCAGTTTGTAGAACTTACCTTTAACTCTTGTTGGCACGTTCTTATCACACAAAACACCGGATCCTAGCCTCCATTTCATCTACGGTGCTCCAATTTGATGTTGACATCATCGTCGATCTCCCCGTCGTTGACTATAGGGATGCTAATGTTTGGTATTTTTCTTAACAACTTTGGATAACAATCACTATTTTGTTTCTAAAAACATGAAGGGATATTTTTACTTTTAGCTCGCACCATAAACTATTTATATTTGGTAGCCGAAAGAGTGTATAAAATTTATATAGTTTTTGTATATAACATTGGGCCATAAAGTCACACGTGTTGGGCCGTTAATCTCAGTTCACTCTTCAAACAGAAGCACATGAAAAACCAATATAATTGTATTTTAACTCTTGTTAAGCACACACGACGACGGAAAGCTGCTTTGCTTTCCTTTATGTATAGTAGTAAATATAAAATATATTTTTTTGACTATTATTTTAAGAACGGCTATACATTATTTTCCCAAGAGGAAAAAATATATTTAGACAATATTTAAGAAAATTTTACTGAATTCTAGCAGCAGATAGCAATTAACAAATACGACAGCTAATTAAATACATTTATAGCAGGAACCTATAATGTTGGACCAATCCCATTAAAATAGGGATGAGTAATTAATAATAATTCACATAACTTTTGAAGTCTTCCCCATAATTTTCTCTCCCCCATTTAATGACTTGTATTGTTATTGTGCCAATGCTAAAATGTCTCTACAGTTAAAAAATTCTTCACCCTAAATCCTTTCCTCTGGCGCCTATTCAATCCGACTTTTGTCTTCAACTTATTCTTTACTTCATTCCTCCTTCACGTAACTGACTTTACCTCTAAGTTTTGTACATATAGTATATTAAATTTAATAATTCTGGTGTTGTATAATTATTAAATACATCATGAATAATTATATTTATATGAATATATTACTAGTATATATTCATAGTGTATCTTAATAGTATATACATATTATATTATATTATATTATGCTTGTGGATTACAATCATATACAACATATTTTAATGGTGTACACTACATAATTTTTTGAGAAAAAAAATATAATATAATATTATTGGTACAGTATTTATATTATTTAGCTATACGTAGTATATAATTATTTATACATTTATTTTTGTTAATGAATAAACATATACCATGTATATTTAGAATATATTAAATTTAAAAAGTCAATTTATTGTATCTTTGTTGAATTATTTTATATTCAGTATATAAAATAATATTATTGGTATAGTATTTATTGAAGTATATAATATAATATTATTGTTATAGTGTTTATATTATTTAGCTATACGTAGTATACAATTCTTTATACATTTATATTTTTAATGCATAAACATATATGATGTATATTCAGGATATATTAAATTTAATACGACAACTTACCGTATATTTGTTGAATTATTTTATATATTCAGTATATATACATCTCATATATAACCTCAAGGCTAAATCACTGCCACCACAACTCCATCATACACAACCTTCAACAACCGTACCAGTCAATCTTCAAAAAACACCATTCAACACATCTTTTTCTAAGAGAAGAAACAAGAAGGAAGTAAATGAAGAATAAAAGGAAAAAAACAAACAAGAAACATAAAAATCAACTTCAATGGCCACTAATAGCTTTCCATGTTAACCAAAAAAAATATGTATTGACGAAGAATAAGATTTACTAATCCACATTAATAGCACAAAGTGTTTTCATATGCTACGAGAAAAATCATACTGATTTTTGATTGGTAGTGACATAGCAGGCAAGGGGTGAAGAGATTAATGGAGTTGTGGCTTACTTAGGGTGGAAAGAAAAGAGAGAAGAAATTACGCTGAGGATAGGTAAATATGGTGATAAGAATAAAAATGGATCCCGCGATTTGTGCAGTTAATTTATTACTTTGAAACATAATTTTTATATTAGGCTAAAATTGTAAAAGAATCTGCTATTTATGGAATAAGCTAGAATTGATTCTATGTTTTTTAAATAATTTTATGAAAAGGATAAAAAACTCTTTTCCCGAAACATTGAATTGGCACAAAACCTCGAAGGCCCAAAATATTTGTAGAAACAGATAAAGGCCCAAAATACACTCTGCTCTTAACCAAAGGTCCAAAGCCATAAGATACAAAATATCTCAGAAGATGACACGTGTCCTGCTACGTAGTTCCGAATAAAGAAACAGATACTACTATTGTTTCTACAAAGTATAGTAAAGATAGAAATTGAGAGGTCTGCCTCAAATCTCCCACCAGACATGGCTGTCGTTCAAATTTCGAGCTCTCTCTGCACTTCCATTCGCGGTAATTCTATTAGCAATTTCTTCCTCTCTTTTTTCGCTTCTTAAGAAACTGAAAGAATTATCAAATACTATGTGGTTTTTGCAGATGTTGTTATGTCAAACCCAGTAAGTGTTTCTTCTGTTAGGGTCTCAACTCGTATTCAATTTGGGACTGTTTTTGCTACTGGTTCTCCCCTCTGTAAGCCCACTTCCTTTTTTCTGTTCCTTTTTAATTTTTTTAATTCAATTTATGCGTTGTAATTGTTCTATATTGCTGGAAAAAATGGGTTTCAATTTTTGTTTTGAGTTTTAGTGGCTACATCAATTCAAATTTGGTTATGGTTTTCAATTGCGTTCTGTACTTTAATTTGTTAGTAATAAGCATTTTGTCATTGTTAGTGCCATTTTATGCCCACATATTACTCAGGTCTTAGTTCGATTATAGATTTTTATCTTCATAACTAGGCTCACACCAGGGAATTATTAAAATTTTTGAAGATGAATCTATCCTTTACTAAACTATTTGTAAGTAATAAAGCTTAAGTGAAGTATCAGATGCCAACTTTTGAAATGAAGAGACGAAGACTGAGCATCATCTATTGTCATTTCCTCATTTGCCTTCAGTCTTTATTTAATTGTATATTTTTCCATGGCTTGCGGAGATACCCCTGCTGTCATGACTATTTATGAATTTCACGTTCTGTCAGTAGAAATGGTTTCGAGGTTTAGAAGTTATTTCATTAAATTATAGATTATAAACGTTAAAACAAATCTAACACAAATCCCATCATGACTTTAAGATCATGGAATTTATGACTCTCACAAATACGTGCAAACGAACAGTTAATCAGTGAACGCATACCTGAATATGATTCTTGTGTGGCTGAAGCAACTCTGATATCATTACATTGTGATGATTTGAGAGAAAACCCTCATTGGTTTCCCTTCCTTCCTTTTTTGGTCAGTTGACATTTATAGAGAACATTATTCCTTCTTAGGGTAGAGAGAAGATCAGTTTCCGTGAAAGTCTTTTATATCATGTTCCGTATATGAGAAGTTACTTAACCATTTAATTAGAGAGACAGTTCCAGCTTTGATCAATTAGATTTTGGCCTCCATATTGATTTGAATTAATTACAACTAACCAAGTAGATAAGCGTAGCTTATCACGTAGATCACACCTTAATAGCACACTGGGAAGAATGCAGGTTATCTTTCTTCTTGATATTTGAGCTAACGCTTGCATGTTTTCTTTTCTTTTCTGTTTTCTTGGGTGGTTGTTGGGGGTTGGGTAAGTCGAAGGGGTATACTGTAAGCATGTGGAGCCATTTACATTACATTTTAAATTTGCTAGCGCATTTTTCTCCCTTTAACTGTTGTTCAAGAAACTAGTAGCTAGGCTGCGTGATATCTGATCCTCTGGATTTGTAGTGACTAGGAACAGTTTCTATCGAGTAAAGGCTATTCCAAGTAGAGCAGCATCACTTTCCATACGATGCGGGCAGAGTACCAAGGAAGAAAGTAATTTGGACGTATGGCTTGGTCGATCTGCCATGATTGGTTTTGCTGTTGCTATTAGTGTGGAAATAGCCACAGGCAAAGGACTTCTAGAGGTAGGCAATTTGTTCTCAGATCTTTTTGTTATTGTGTATATTGTATCACAGATTGGATATTTCACATTTCTTGCTGTGGTACATGTTGAATCCTACATGTGCTTTGATATATTCTCTTACCCAATTACAACTTATCCTAATGTGAGATATCTGTTTAGATTGGGAGCATTTAACATGATCTTTGATACTCCTTTTGAAATTGTTACTTGTTTTGTTCATCCAAGCGGAAAAAGCAACCAAAAAAAAAAAATTCCCTCATGCTTCTAGAGATATTAGACTCTCATGTTGCGAAAATTGAAACAATTAGAGTATAGGCAAACACCATTGCTATAGTAACTGAATTCAGCAGACACCTTATAGATTTGAGGTTCTGCTTTTGGGTTTTTATGTTGAATGTTCTGCAGTTCGTATATCGTCTGTATACCAGAGTTTGTTTTATCTGTCTTCTTTTTCATTCTTCCATCATAAACATTATGATTTTAACCATGATATAACTGTTTGAGCGACTACATGAATTAGTAACTAAACTTATTCTGGTTTTTTCAGAATTTTGGGGTCACAGGGCCCTTACCTACTGTTGCATTGGCCGTCACTGCATTGGTGGGCATTCTGACCGCCGTCTTCATCTTCCAGTCTGCTTCAAAGAGCTGATTATTCTTTTCACTTCTTGTTTCATGTATGTAAGAGTGATATTGTTGCATCGTTAAATGAATATTGCCAATTTGTCAATAGAAAAAGTATTTTCTGCAGAGTTTTCCATCCCTTAACCTTGTAAAATTTATGTTTGCTTGAATCCAGCAGAACTGCATGTCTATTACCAATGTGCAAGTGGTCCTTCCTTCAATCAACATTATAGAATGGTTTTTTCTATTATATATGACATGTTCTTACTTCTACCGACATGTCGAAATGGTTGGAGGAATAAAAACAAGTATTAGCAGGAGTAGCTGCTATGGTTCATGCTAAGATAGACCATCAACAGTAGCTCTTATTCAACTAACTTTTTCATATCGGATGGACAAAAAATGTTATGTGACTTATTTCCGATATGTCCAAGTTTCTGTGCGCAAAGTTGGTGGAAGGTAACATGGTGACAGTGACGGATGTAGTTTATTACCAATGGGATGCGGAGTAAAAATTTATATATAAAAGTTCATTAAAATTATAAAAATAATAGATATAAATCTATAATTTTAAAAATATAATGAATTTAATGCTTAAAGTTTTAATCCCATTAAGGTTTATATCATGGAACTGTCCCAGTGAAGTAGAGGAGGTATAGAAGCGGACGACTACATTGTGAAAAGTAGTTTCATTGGGTTGTCGTTCAATTGGGTTGGTCCTACTTGGACTAGATAACCTGATAAATGTGTCTTCGAGTCAAGTATTTTCTCTTAAATGGGTTTTTAAAATAGGTTTCGACCAACTTTGCATAGTATATGGCTTCTTTGGTTTTTTTTTCAAAAAAGCTTTTATAAAAGAGTAAAAAGGTTTTTTTGCAAAGAGAAAAGTGCTTTTGCGCAATTTTTTGGGAGAAAAAATTATTTCCACTATCTTAAATACAAAGTATGACAAGATCAAATACAGATAAAATATACTTAATTTGCGAAAAGAAAAAAGCCTACGGTGGAGCCTTGATTACTCAAGTAGTGAATCTGTGAATGGATCAACTCATCTTTTTGGCCTCTAAACTAAATTAATACACCTCTTTGGCAATATTCCGACAGCTCAAATAATGAAACTCCTTTTTGCCTTTCTCAATAACGATACTTAACAACAAAGCAATCCCACGCGATAAAAACAGGGTCTTTCACCGTTAAAAGCACGGACATAAATGATTTATCTTATACTATCGAACTAATCGAAGTGTAAATTTTACACCATTAGTTTTTGAAGATGAAGTAATACACAAATAGAATAAATATTCAATGAAGAGAGATTACATTTCATGACATATATAAGGGTAGAATAGTCCAATCCATTTCTTAATTAATATTTTTAAGGGGCGTGTAAAAGAGAAACGCGACACATAATATGAGACGGAGAGAGTATTAATTTAACTTAATGCAGGAAGTAGCTTATCGTACTTTTGAGGTTATCAATTTCATTTATTGTTGATTGTTACCTTTAAAGATTCAATATATTAAGTTATATTTATTGACGGTATAATTGTTTGCAACACTATCAATAAATTTTAACAGATGATAACATCTTACTTTTTATTTTTACTGGGCAATCAATTAATGTTTCCTATAAAATTACCTTTACTTACCTAGTACTCCCTCCATTCATTTTTACTTGACGCGTTTTGACTTTTCACGCTCATTAACTAATAATAAATGAAGTGCATAATTTACCATGATACCCATATTAATTAATGCATATTTTATTGAATTTGAGAAAATGATTTGAAATGAGTAATAAATACTGTGGGTATAACAAAAAAAATTTTGTGCGTAAAGTGACAAGTAAAAGTGAAAATCTATTTTTAGTATACATGCCAAGTAAAAGAGAACGGAGAGAGTAAGTGATATGATTGTATAAATATTTTTTTATGCTGTCATAGAACTTAAATTTTACTTTTAATTGCCTTTAGAATTATCTAGTAGTGCAACGTTTAAAGCGTAGTCAGTGTATAGAAGGTTAATCCAAAATAAATAAATTCTTGATCAATTCGTCAAACTTACAACACTTTCATCAATTACAACAACGGCTCTCCTCCTCTTTATGTAGCAAAGCAAAATCTTTCTAAGTCAAAAGAAGAACAAAGAGAACTACAGCCCTTTACACCCCAAATAATAATACTTTAGTAGCTTTTCTTGGTCCAACATAATGATTAGTAATGTGAATAGCCTGGTACTTTATCCAGCATATGAAGGGCATCTTTCATTGTAGGCCTTTTTTGTGGATTCAATGATGCACAACTAAACCCTAGCTTAAACAATGACACCGTGGTCTCTTCCTTGCTCTCCACGTCAGCTTTAATTGCCACATCAGCCATTCTCAACACCCGGTTCTTGTCATCCACTACTGAACCGGTGGTCCACTGGCTCAACTCCCGGTCCGAAAATACTTTCCCGGTTAGAAGCTCAAGCAACACAATACCAAAGGAATAAACATCCCATTTAGGACTAGGCTTGAGGCTCTGCAGCGACTCGGGCGCGTGGTACGGGGATGTGCACCCGACGAACCCGGCTGGGGCAATGTAAGGGCTACCATGAACCGGTTGATCATGTAAACCGTCTCGGGAGGACGTGGACCGCTTGCTACCAAAATGCCGGGCTGAATTATCCGGTTTACAGCTATTTTTACCATGCATTAGCCCATGAAGTCCAAGGTCACTGATTATAGGCTCCATATTTTGTGTTAAGAGAATGTTACTAGGTTTGATATTGCCATGCACGTGTTTCTTCTCGTGGATGTAGGTCAATCCTCTTGCAATTCCTTTTGCTATCTTGAGCCGGACTTCGTATGGTAAAAAGTAAGGAGAAGAACCAACTTTTCCTGAAATTTTTGAACAATAATGATTTAAGTTCTAATAAGAAGTAAATTTAAGTCATGCACAACATCTGCTATAATTTCAGTGAAGTTCTATACAGAGGCAGATGCAAAATGCAAATGCAATATGAGTCCAACTGATGAACTCAACATATTTTACACAAAGGATAGATATATATGAGTGAAAATCAATAAATATTTAACAAATACTAAATTCTGGACTCATAGTTGTAAAAGTACAATGTATTCAGTTATGAGAAAATAAATATTGAACCCGTCAAGTTTATATTATGAGAAAAATGTATCACGCTTCTGATAATCTAAACTTAGTATCATAGTACATCTTAGCATCAGCAAACACAATAATATAACAATAACAAACCTGATATAATCTCATAAGTGAGGGTCTGGAAAGATTAATGTGTACGCAAACCTTATCCCTACCTTGGGAAGATAGAGAGATGCACGAAGTTAATATTACTTAATTGTATAATCCTATTTTGTTTGTGTGAATTGAATGTTTGTGTACAATATTGAGGAGAGGGATGCACATGTATTTTGGCGTATTAATCGTATTCTAGTATAATTTTGGGGGTGGGGGGACTTTCACGGACTATGACAATGTCACATGGAGGACCATTGGGAGCCTCAAACAGAACCACATGAAGTATACTCTGCATATTCAGTAACAAAAATCCATGCCTATGTATAGTATATACACTTAAAACTAAAAAACTCTATTTCCTAGCGAATAAATATGGTAATATTATATTAAGGGACAAATCAGGGAATGTTGCTGGAGATATACCAGAGACCATTGAATGAAAGATACCCTTGACTTATTAGAATATTTGGGTAATTATTGTTAGGACCAGAAAAAAGATTTATCAAAAGTATAGCAATGATAATCATTGGACTATATTTTGACCAAAGAAGAACTAGCTTTTCTCTCAATGAAGGAACTCAACATGTTCTTTAGTTTTTTTATTTTATTTTTATGAATGAAACATGGGATAATTCATGAATTTTCAAAAGCTATAACTAGTACAAGTGTATTTAGTACTATGAAAGTCACTATCTGGAAAAGAAAAGTTTGGAAAATGACTTATGCTCTGATTTTTTCTTGTTAAACATTGATAGTAAAAATTTTTAGAATAAAAAAATTGATAGTAATATTTAAGTGTTGGCTAAAGCAATAATATGAAGGTAAGAGTTGAGATAATTGTGAAAAAAAATGACTCCCGCTGAAAATATTGAGGGAAGTCATTTCCCACTTAGATGAAAATTGTCCACGAAAAATATTTTTTAGTATATTCTCTAAGCAAATATTTTTCGAAAAATATTTTCAGTCATGCTAAACAAACCCATAATCTCCGCCAAATTTCATAAAATTTGAAGTAATATAATGAAGAAATGAAGAGAAGAAGGAAAAGAAAACTTACTGTAACCAACATTGGCTAAGCTTCCATTAGAAACATAATCATAGATGACAAGCTTCTCATCATCTCCCCAATAGAAACCTCTAATACGAACAAGATTAGGGTGTCGCAGCTTATTAATGGCTCTGACTTGATTCTCAAATTCCTTCAATTTTCCAACACCATTTTCTCCTATTCTCCGAACAACAAATGCAGTTCCATCTTCTAACACAGCTTTGTACACGATACTAGCTCCACTTGATCCCAAAATATAAGCTGAAGCTTTTAACAAAGTCTCTAGCTCTAATTCTGTTTCACCATCCACCATTACAAATGACCTTTCTTTCTTTTTCTTCTCATCCATTTCATACTCAACTTGTTCTTCAATTTCTTGGGTTTTGTTGTCATCAGTATCTGAACCAGTTGCTGAAGTTTCTTCACCATTTGTTATAGTCAAACATGGCCAATTTGCAAGACTTGAACTTCTTGTAGTACTAGTATTTTTTTGTTTTAGAACAAGTACTGCTGGTTCTGGAGTTTTGTTGTATTTTTGGTCTTTGTCAATTGAGCTTTCTATATTTGCTTCACTTGCTTTTTTCTTCTTCAATTTGTAAACATAAAGAAAGACAATAGCAAGAACACCAACACCAGCTAAATCACCAACTATGATCCCCACTATTGCTCCTGGTTTAAGCCCATGTTGTGGTTGATCTTGACCTGCACTTTCTGTATTTCTAGCTGAATCTTGAAGTGGGGTTGAGTTAATTTCTTTTGGGATAGCTGCAATTGCTGGAGAAGAAGTGTTTGTGGTGACATTAGGTGGAGATGATAAAGTTGAAGGGATAGTACATAGTTTCTTGAGTGGTTTGCCACAAAGATCTATATTTCCAGCAAAAAACTCTGTTTTCTGATTGGACAAAGCTATAGATTCTGGTAATTCTCCTGTAAGGTTGTTGAATGAAAGGTCAATAGTAGCATTTGCTGGTATTTTCTTGGCAAATTGTGGTGAAACTAAACCTGACAACTTGTTAGAAGAAAGGTTCAAGTATTTCAAGCTATCACCACCAAATTCATCAGGTAATGTTCCATTCAACAAGTTAGAAGAAAGATCCAACATTTCAACAAACTGAAATCCACTTGGTATTGTACCAGAAAAGAAGTTGTTCCTTAAAGAAACAACAGCTAAATTCTGTAAAGAAGTCAGCTTTTGTGGAACATTTCCAGTAAATGCATTGACAGAAAGATTGAGAAGTTTTAAGCTCTTTAACCCTCCAATTGACTCAGGAATTTCACCAGAAATAGCATTGTTGGACAGTGAAAGTACTTGAAGTTCAGAAGCAGTGAAAAGTGAAATAGGAAGAGTTCCATTAAAGAAATTATTAGACAGGTCAATAGTATGTAGATGTTGAATGAAGCCTAATTGTGTTGGAATAGAACCAAGAAGCTTAGAATTTGGTAGGACTAAACTTGTGACTCTAAACATATCTGGTGCACAAGTTACACCAGTCCATAAACAAGGGGTTGCATCATTATAATCCCAATTATCAAGAACTGATAAAGGGTCATCAAGAATTGAGTATTTGAAAGATAACAAGAGAGTTCCATCTATGTTAAGACCAAATGAAGGACACAAAAGAAAGAAGAGAAAGACACTAAATGACCACAAAGAATAATACTCAGAATCAGTTTTTGAGAAGTTCATCATCATTTCTTGAACTGATTATTCATCATTACTGCATAGTCCTAAGTCCTATACATAGGAAGAAAAAGAAGAATTTGGTTAAGAGGAAGAGGTAAACCAACTTCTATAGAGGTTGTTTTGGTGACCAAAAAGGCAAAGGGATATGGAGAAGAAGAGTAAGGCAAAAAGGTATTCTGGTTCACTCTGCTGCATATAATGATAATATTGATATTGATATACTAGTAGTAAAAGGGTACTTGAGTTAGCATGGGAAAACAAAGTGAATGGCTAGGCTACTATTGTACTTTTTTTTGTCCACACTATATATTTAGTTTAACTTTTATATACTAACACTATAAAACTGTTTCATATTACTTCACTTTAAAGGTTAATAAAGGTAATTACCTATAATCAATAAAGTTAATTATCTGAAAAATAAGGCGAGTTACCTTCCATAGTAGATTAAATTACATTTATTAGTTAAAATTTCATTTACACTGCTAGTAGATTTTTTTATACTATCAGGTCAGTTTTTAAACGTTAGTAAGTGTATTTAACCACTAGGAGGTCACGGATTCGAACCATGGAAACTGCCTCTTGCAAAACTGCAGGGTAATGCTGCGTAGACCCTTGTGGTTTGGTCCTTCCCCGGACCCCGCGGTTAGTGGGAGTTTAGTGTACCGAACTGCCTTTTTAGTAAGTGTACTTGACTACCTACAATAAATGGATTTAATTATTTAAAAATAAAACAAGCAACCTGTTATGACATATTAAATTACATTAATAGTATAAAAATTCATTTAAGGTGCTAGAGGACCTCTTAGTATAACTTTGAAGAATCATATTATTAATTTATTACGTAGGAAAAGAGAGCAGAGAGGAATCTTTGTGTTTTTGCTAGAGGACGTTTTGTATGAGTTGGATCTCAATTTACAAGTAATGTAACTAAAGTCCACCTCCTGTTGACTTTTCCCCAACTCCATTTTCTCGTTTCCCATGCTACCTCCTTTTCAAATTCACCTTAAAGTTTCGGTGTAAATTTGTTCACACAATTACGTTATTATAATTACAAATAAATTTCTTAATGGACATTAGTTGATAATTACTAGCTTTTGATCTGGTTAAAAAAAACAATCCGGTGTACTAAGCTCACGTTATGAGCGGGGTCCGGGGAAGTTCGGACCATAAGAGTCCATTGTACGCAATTTTATCCGGTATTTTTGCAAGGACTGTTTTCACGGCTCGAATTCGTGACCTTCTGATCACATAACAACTACTTTAAAAGTGATCTGGATATTTACTTAATTATCTTACAAAGGTGAAATGATGCTTCACTACACTAGCTTTTATGAGATTACACAGAGCCACGGAAACAAACTTTATTATATTTGTGTTTTAATCAACAGTAAAAAGCAGAATAAATGGAGGAAAGAAAAGTGGAAAGCTATGTGTGGTAAATTTTGTCTAATTTGAAAAGACACGCATTCACCGACATATTTCTAAATGGGTCCATTACAAAAATTATGTCATTCAAAGTGAATGTGATGTGAAGAAGGGTTAATCATTTATTGTTAACACTAATTGTTTAACCAGAAAATAGGAATTTCGGTCAAAGCTTATTTTTAGAAGAACTCACGTTACTGATAATCAAATAAAGAAATAATTGAATAACGAGAAAGGAAAATTAGACTAAGAAGTAGCCGAGTAAACAATATAAAGCAATGTAAATAAGTATATTCCAATAATAATCAGTGCGTCCATACAAATATTCTTTTTCTCCCTTTTATAGCTCTTTCTAAGTACAACGTTGCTCCCCCCTTTCAATCATGTCATAATGGGCAATTAATGATATTAATGAATTGTTATCATTGGCAATCGTAACTTTTTCATGAAGATCTTGTAATGTATGCTCATTAATTGAAGGCTAACGAATCTGTACTTTTTGATGTCCTGGTTCATTCTGTCGATGTCTCTTCAAATTATGAAGAGACTCGGGCGACCGTTTCTTCTCGTCTTTTAGACGTCTTGCTCGTACCTGTTAAGATTCGTATATCTTTAAGTACTTTCCTCCAGTTGTCGCTTTTCTAATGATCCACATGTCTTGCCATGTCAGCCACATAATTAATTCCACGTGTAATATTTATTTTCCTCAATACAAATAGTCCGTCCACTTGCCATTTATTCAGCAGTTGAATATTTGGGAAGTGGATCTTATTAAAGCGGGAATTTTTGCCACTGTTTCCCTCATATCTTTATACCTTCTTTTGAACTGACGCATCGTATGTCACTTCCATTTAATGTGTGTAACACGTGGCGCCCTACGACTGGTTCTACAATTTCTCAGCGTCTCTTAAGGCTTTTTACGGCTGCATCAATCACGAAGTGACAGTTTTCATAATGACGTTTCCATCATTACCTCTTTGTTTGACGGTTTCTTCCGAGTATAAATACATCCTTTGTCTTTCTTTCAAGAAAAAGTTTACCATATTTTGCCATTCAACTCTTTATACTTCTTCACACAACTATGTCTTCTTCAAACCCTGATCCTCGAAAGGTCCTTATTGTAGATGAACTTCCTCCTGCTCCTACCAGAAGTAGGAGAAGTGGTAGGCTACGTAGTTTAGGGTCAGTTTCCATACGAGGTTCTTCTTCTCAAACTAGTTCTACTCCCCCATCATCTTCTAGAACTAGGGCTTCTTTTTCACACAGGTCTTCTGCTAGAAATAGGGATTCCAATGAGCCAATTCGTGAACCCACAGTAGACGAGATTATCCATGCTGAACTTTCTTTTTATTCTGATAGAGAGTCGATTAGAAACCAGGTCTCTTCTATGTCCTCTCATGATCGTGCCGATGTTTATCCTTCACAGATTACTGAAGGTTTGATCTATGTGGTTCGTAGAGATTGTCATTGGAAATTTGACTTCCCAATTATGATCCCTAATGCAAATCAAAGGATCACTTCTTTTAAAGCTGGCTTTTCTTTTGTGTATACGTATCACTTCACATTAGACTTTAGACCTCCTATTTACCCAGTTATTATTGAATTCTGCCGCCTCTTCAATGTTTTAGGACAAATTGGCCCTATTGTATGGAGGGTTGTTGCATGTTTAAGGTATTTGGCAAATTTGGCTCAACTGCCTTTTACCTTTTATCATCTAATCCACCTCTACTCTCCTAAATTATTCCGTCATGGGATTTTTACTTTGGTGGCGAGGAGTAAGAGAGTTTTAGTCAGCCCTGAGGATGATAAAGATCGTGGCTGGTACGCCCGATTTGTTGTTGCTCCTACGAGTGGGTTAGTAGGTGAAGAGAATATGCCCTTCCCTGAGAAGTGGAACTTTGCACGTAAGTTTTTACAACTTTCTTTCTCTTTTTTTTTTAGAGATCGTATTTCCCGTGACTGTTTTATTTTTCCTTTTCAGCAACCATGGGAACTGTCGAGGAGATTCCCGATTTCCGTGGTTGGGTAGAAAAATTGTTAAAAATTGCTCCGATAGAAGTAAGATCTTGGAAGCATCTTTCAAATAGATTTGGCTGGAAGGTTAAGACTCACGGTAATCTTTTCTTCCATCTTTTCCTTCTCCTCTGTTCATTCTATCTTTAGAATTTATTAACCCTTCTTTTTATCAGGGTTTCCTATTCGAGGTGTGAGTGCTGAGTCAATCACGGCTTCTAGATTTTCTTTAGCAAGAGCTCAGGAGATAATCTTGAGTTCTTCATTGAAAAGAAAAGCCGATAGGGCACATGATTCTGAGGATGAAGAGGAGCAAGATGGAGGCTCGTTAATTCGTAAGCCACGAGCCAGAAGACGTGACATTTTGGATGATGAAACTACTCCTCCTCCTCGTGCTGTCTCTGTGATCGAGCCTGCAGAAGCCACTTTAGTGAGTTCTGATGAAGACACGCCTGGGGCACATCGTGATTCTGCTGAACACCTCTTTTCACGTGGGTTTGATGATGAAAGTTTTGACTTGATTTCTGAGGAAGCGCCTCTCGCTTCTTTTCCTGTGTCTGTTCGAATGGAATCCAACTTGCTTGTTCCTACTATTGTTGCTATGCTCCGTCCGAAGCTATTTTGACTTCTTCGACCGTTCCTGTTACCGATACTTCTCGTACTGACATTGGTTCTTCAAGTGGAAGCAGGGCAATGAGGAAAATTACCATTGAGGTTCCTGCCGATGTTAATCTTCTGAAGAAGTCAGGCCAGGTTGATGTGTGGCTGAATCCCTTGATAGGTCCGGTTGAAAAGTCAAAACTGGAAAGTCATAGTTCTTTGACTTGGATGAACGACATTGTGCAATCATCATTGAAGGTATATATTCCTCCTTTTTATCTTATGTAATTTTCCTTTTACTAGGATTTCATCCTCTTCTCTTTATGTAGATCAATCTCATCGGTACAGAGATGATGAAAAGAGTTTCCCATACGGAGCAGTTGATGCATGACTACTATACTGAGGCAGATAATTGGAAAGAACGGTATGAAAGTCTCCAGCTTGAGATGGAGATTTAGAGGAAAATAAATGTACCTTGGAGCAACAGATAAGAGTTATGGCAGCGGAACTAGTAGCGGATAAAGCCTCTTCCAACCAAGCGGGTAAGGACAAGAACCTCCTTGAGTCATCTTTTGCCAAACAACTTTCCAAGGCTACAGAAGAGATCAGAGGTCTGAAGGCCCTGTCGGATGAGAAAGAAGTTTATGCTGGTGAGGTTGTTCAATCACTCACCCAGGCTCAAGAAGATCTCCGAGTTTCTTCCGATAAAGTTAAGTTTTTGGAGTTGAATCTTCTGCTGCTGTTGATGCCATCTTAAATACTGGTTCAGGACCTACCTCATAGTGAAAGTTTGATTGTGAAGTTAACTAGTTTTTTTTTTTGTCTTGGCGGTGGAATACTTTGGTGGTTTACCCCTGGTCCCATTAGGGCTAATGTTTCTTGGTAATATCATACCCCCAGTCCTTTTCGGGGGTTTCTGTAAAGATAATTAAGTTGGAATTAAGTTCATACTTAGTTTAACTAAGTTATTTAAGATATTATGAAGTTTTTTGCTCAACTTTTATGTTATCTTTGATTTTGAGTTTCTGTTTAACTCTCTTAGTGGTTTGCCCTTGTCTTTTTCTTTATAAGTTTAGGGCCTTATTTTCCACTTCAATTTTAATATGTGGGTTTTTATTTTACCCTTTTAACTTTTGCATTTAAAAATGCTTTGTTAATTTCACGGCTTTTTGAATCAAGCACAAATTATAAAAGAGGG